AAAAAAAAAAAAAAAAAAAAAAAAAAAAAACAGACCCTTTTTTTTTCAGTGGCTTCGACTAGTAACTGACAACATGGAACGACGAACGTCGAATGAAATTGTGTACGAAAATAAAACCTTTTCAATTATTGAACAAGACCTCAGTAGTTTTGATAATAAGGGTAATATTTACATGAATCATTTAACTATTCCAAATGTTCGATACGAACATGCCGGCACCTATGTTTGCGCGGTACAAGCTGGAAGTACCATTACCTATACAACCGCAGCTCTTAGAATTATTCCAGGTATCATAATACATTATCAGTATAACTGCGTTGACAGACAACCGTTTTTCATGTAACAAAACTAACACTAGAGTTGATAATTATTACGCTGTTACTGTTATTGTTTTAGGAGCAGATCACGGGCCCTTTTCCAGTGCATATTTTTATTTGGGTATACCGTCGTTAGTCATCATATTAATGTTCGTAGCGTATGCTGTACATTTTCTGCACAAGAATCAACAAACCGATAAAACTGGAGAAACGTCACATTTTATACCAAATGGTATCAAACCGATAAATAAAACAAAAAACTCGTTTCCACCACCACCGTTGGTACCACCGCCACAAACTCCAGTAAATTCTTATAAACAACAACAGCATACGCTTTCGAGAACTGCACCGAATCCACAATATTTGGCGCAAGATATATTTTATAATCAGTCACTTCAACAAAAATGTTACCCACCAATGCCTCAATTAATTCGTTCAAAAAGGTGACTATTTGTTTCTTCTACTATTTAAAACATAAAAGTGATGATGCTTCTTATTTCTAGAGCAGTTTCAATTTTTTTATACTTTATAGATTGCCATATCAGACTTGTCTAAATTCTGTTACTCAACCGTATGCAAGCGATGCAGTTAGTAACTTTTATGAAACAACACCAAAGCATTTCCATTCATCGCAGACGCTACCTGCGTCTGCGCGAATTGATCCTTCTGATTTTGAGGCCGATTATTCACGAGGTAGATTACCGTGTCCTACCGAAGTTGACGATTACAGTGAGCAACGTCAACCGTTTTTGTCGCCGAATGCTCTATGACTAACTGTGAATCCGTTTTCTCCTTCTTTTTTGCTGTGTGTCTTCGTCTATTAAATTTTTTTTCTTTTATTCTTGCTCAAAA